TCGCGATCGGTGTTCTCGAGGGAAATTAACGCGTGATCGGTCATTACGAAGCGTAAAATCATCGATGTCATCGGATTAGTGGTTAATAAATTGGCTTTGATGTCGCGCGTCGGAAGCGAATATCATTCACGCGCGAAATCTCGAAGTCGTGCGTGCGGGACACGAGATCTCTCTATATCCATTATGTCATTCGGTTATTTTATCACTTGTATAATTAATTATTACGTTATTTAATTAGTTCGTTTTATATTTTATATCTACCTAATACACTTGCCTATCTAAGGAAGATTTATTTATCTTTTTCTCTATTATTTCCTCCTCCCCCTTCGCGATCGTGGACGCGCCAATTCCCGCTGCTTGTCCACCTGGCTTAAGAATTCAGCGTAAACAATAGGCACGCGTACGTCATCATATGCGCGCGAATAAATGTATGTAGCTACCATAGAATATATCACAACGAGAAAACGCGTTAGATCTTCTCTTTCTCTTCTTCTCTTTCCTCTTTTTCTCTTTCTTTCTCTCTCTCTTTCTTTTTCCATCCTCCCTCTCTCCTTCCCCGTTATTATAGAGACTCCGAATAGATAACGGATGTACAGTTATATAAATTGCATATAACGCTTCCTGTTGGGGCGGACGTGGAAGTGCATCGATACTTATATATTATGTACGAGCGAAACCGAAGAAAGAAACGAACGAGGGCTGAGCACGCGATTTGCGTCTTTGGGCGCATGACAAACTCGCGCCGTTCGTTATTTGCATTGTCGCGTGATCGCGACTGGTAGTAGCCGGATGTCAAGTGTTCGGCCCTGGAAACGCGAGAGAGGGCGAGATAAGTCGCCGAATTGCCACGAGAGATTGATCGTCGTGCTTCGCAATGGGAAATAATCGCGGCTGAGTTTCGCGAATGACGCGGAAATGCAAGCCCGTCGCGTCGGCGTCGGCGTCGACGTCGGCGTCGGCGTCGCGTCGCGTCGCGTCGTGTCGGCAATATCGGGAAAAATGGAGAAAGCACGTCCCCACAGCGACGAGAGTCGCGTGGCGACGATTGAAACCGTTGCAATTACGTTGCATCGAGTTACCGGTAGACACGCGAGAATCGCAGCTTATGTACGGCAGTTCGCGGCGATGGAACGCGAGGATTCGTATAAAGAATCCTTTCGCTTTTCGTTTTCTTCTTCTTTTTCTTTTTTTTTCATGTACACGTAGCATCAAAGAATCATGTAGATTTCAATCCCTGCTTTGTATAGTCTTAAGACACACGGCGTGGAGATATAAAATTACGACATATCTACTTGAGAATCTTTAAAGCTATTCCCCTAGGTCCACGGTCTAGTGAATTTGAATCATTTTGAAAAATAGCCTTTGTCGAAACCGACTCTCATCGATGAGACAAACATATAAAAAACGTCTAAAAGTCATCTCAAACGCGCTTGAAAGACCTGTCAATGTTTTAGGCGTTTTTTAGATATTTCGTAGACCTATACGTTGATCTTTCGTGTTCGTAAGGAGTATTGTATATTTAGTCGCGTGCGCACCGTTCGACTTATTTATCGACAACGCTGGTGTGTCCTCGACTTTATACGCAATTTTGACGACTGAACAATGGAACGTAATCTTTGTCCCGTTTGAATTTTTACGAAAGTTGCTCCATGCGACGGAGAGCAAATGTTGCCGGTTGAATTTCAAGCGCAACGTTCCTTAGGACAAGCGCCGCACGTACCGTTAAGTCATTGATACCCCGTGGTTATTTGTAACTCCTTTCCCGATGATGGAGAGTCGATAAAGAGGGTGGCCGACGTCATCTAATAAAAATGGCATGATCCCGCGTACTCGCATTGGTAGAACGTGACGATTGAAAACGACTATCCCTCCTTCGTTTCTTTCGAATGTCCGTGGTGGATAGTGATCCAAGGCAGAATCTCCCGGCTCTCTCTAGGATCACCTACTTTCATAAAGAATTTTCACGTAGTACTAAGGCAAAGAGAGCTCCTTATTAAATGTGCGCGCGACTGACAGGAGCGTCTGGTACTATTTGGCGATTGCGAAGTGGAACTAGAGAGGAATGGGGTGACGCCGGAAGAGTAAGGGCGACAGAGTGGGAGGGGTGGGAAAGAGTCGGAGGGTGGGTTGGGCGTGTCAGCTGGTCGATATCCTGAATGGCAAGCTTCCACGGCCCAGCTTGCAGTCAGCCGCTGTGTCCAAGGGGCGAGAGAAAGAGAGAGAGAGAGGGAGGAAGGGAGGGAAAGAGAAGGTCAAGCAAAAAGGGAGCGCGAGTGTGTATATGTATACAGAGTGTTTCAAAAGTTGCGTTTTTCCCGAACTACGGACGTCAGAAGTCAAAGCGAGCAGAATGTCGCTTCATCGTTCTTGAATTACGAATGACTGACGCGATCGGCGTGTTTTTACAAGTCGAACTTTCGTGAGACATGCGAGATGGACGAGAAAACGTATTATTCTCTTCCGTACACAGTGCTCGCTTCTCTCAACGGAATTTCCATTCCGAATTTAATTATCAAGATGCACGCGCGATCTCGCCGGATAATAAAACAAAAGAAGCGTCCAATCCAATCTTCGCTGAGGCGGAATTGATGATGTTCGAGAGAAAGCGTTTGATTACCGGGACAATCTGTACGTGAAATGTGCGAAGAAAAGAGAACACGGCTCTGAATACGCTTTTTTCCCTTTCTTTCTTCGAGGTAGGTCTTGCTAAGTAATCGACGTGCGTATTAGCGAACGGCATCTCAAAAGATAAGAGCCACATCCGAGAGAGCGCAGCGCTCGAAAAGAAGAGAGTGGAACATTGTGCAATTAGTGTTAATTGAATTGACAAAAATGTGTAGCATATGGTAGACGAGAAAATAAAGAGACTATCACACTCCGCTCGTTGGAGGAGAAGGGAGGGGAAAAGGGAATAAAACCAATCCACGTACGGAGGTATAAGGGCGACCGTATACTGCTGTTTTCGTCTCGAGAACAGATGCTGCAGGGAAATGTCGACGGAATAAGCTACGGAATAAGACTTGAATCGGTGAGATCCAGTACGACCGCGTTGCTCTAACACGTTACACGATATATATATATATATATATATATATATATATGTGTGTGTGTGTGTGTGTGTGTGTGTGTGTGTGTGTGTGTACAAGAATAATTTAAGACGCTTTGATGAGAGAGAAAGTATATATCCAATATCTCTATATATATTTCGGAACAACGCGACGTGGCGATCGTGATGACGGATTGATTCCACTTCTCGTTCCCTACCGTGTTCTCACTACGATCAAATAAAGATGTGTTTGATCACGACACATGTACATACGCCTGTATTAATTGTACCGGGTACTTCCCTGGCGAGAAGTTTTTTGATGGTCAAAAATAGATATCGAACGAGCGCGCTGAGCCGCATTTTGCCTTGGTTCGCTGTCCGCCTCGAATTTCAACTCGATTGAAATAGTTTTTTCTGCTCTCCCTTCCTCTCTTCTCCCCCCTCCCTTTTCTCTTCACTCTCTCTTTCTCTCTCTTTTTTATTCTTTTTTTACGTCCGATCTATAATCGTCATACGTCCCAAGAGTTCTTCACTACGTAAACAGTCGCGACTACGTAGTACGAACTAAGAATAGTACTCCCGATTGAGCCACGTGCACACGCACATATACGCGTACAGAGACGCCCCGGGACGAGTGACGAGAATTGCGCGGGTCTCGCTGCGGCGGCGACACACGTCACGCACGGCAATACAAAAGGCGCCTGTTAAAAGTCGTAAAAAAGTCTTACACAAAATGAGGAGAAACCTCGCCGTTCACATTGGCGGTAATCCAAACAAATGCGGATGCTCTCCGGGGAAATGCCGTTGCCGCGAGACCGTACGGCTTTCGTCGTGGGCGCCCTGCGTCGCACTTGTACCCTTCTCCCTCTCCCCCCACACCTTTCTTTTACTTTCCTGTTTTTCTTTTTGTTGCTGCGATTTCCGGATCTCGAAAAACCCTCAACGTCTGTACGCGTTCTCCGCGTACGCACGTGTGCACGCACATGTGTCTAATATTCGCATGCACGACGCGTGCCTAACGCGGCCGCGTACGCGTTTACGTTAATATACAAGTACTTATGTTTACTTAAACAATAGTGCGCACCAGTCTCCGATAGAATACATCGTTTGTCTTCGTTCGGACTATAAACTTTCCCGCCCGTCGTTTCCCTCGTTTAGCGCGCGCGTTCACACACACGCACATACAACATACACACATATTTACGTTCATTCTCGCTCTCTCACGCTCTCTCTCTCTCTCTCTCTCTCTCTCTCTCTCTCTCTCTCTTTCGCTTTCTCGCTCGTTTACTCGTTCACATGTTTGCATGCAAGCGCGCACATGCCACGCGATTTCCGCTACGTTTCTCCTGTCCGCGCTCGTGCGCCGCCGACGGCGTCAGAGCGACGATCCAAACCCAACCTCGACAAACGTCAATAATCTTATATTTTTCCGCAAGCCCTGGCATCACGTTTAGCCGCGTTTGAATCGTCGCTGCGTGCCAGCGAGTCTCGGTGTCGTTACTTAACGTTAGTTAACGTTACTATATAATATGATGGCTAAATTGACAAGTGTTTATATCGAAGGTATTTTCTCCATTTAAGACCTAGAGATACCTATACTGGCAATGTTTTATGGTATGTATGCTCGTAGATTCGCTTTCGAGGTGTTGAGCTCCTGCTTGCTTGCTAGCTCGTTTACTTGTCCGTTCTCCTGCTCGCGTCGCGACATAACATATCTCTGTGTATCGGCGCGATACGCCTATATATATATATATATATATATATATATATATATATATATATATATTTATGTACCGAGACCTTTAACGAAGAACGTCTCGTGGAGATAGCCGAGGATGACGCGAGTCCGCTCACTGATGGACGAACGGATGGAGCCCGCGTCCAGAGAAGTTGCGGTAGCCACGCCGTGCAGTAGTAATGTGCGCGTTTGGCCAGTCATCGGAGCGGTGCAGCCTGCAGGTGTCTATCCGTTTCTACTTTCCAGCGACCGCGAGGCACTCCGTGTCCGCTCGGCCGCGCGTGGCTGCCCATGTTCGTCCGTTACTACTTCCAAGCGTGGAGAAGTGGTTACCGGCGCTACTGAGGTGGATCTAAGCGCACGTTCCGAGTGCACTTGTCATGTCCTGTCCTCGCTCGCCCTCTCGTCTCTAAGTAGTCGGCCGGATAGAGCGCGCGTCTTGACTCGTCTTTCTCCTCGTGGTCGCCTCTCCCCGCGAATCGGCCTCCATCCAGTCCTGCCGCGTGAGAGTTCGACTATGCGCACAACCGTCGTCCTCCATCCCTCTCGATTCGGAGCGCCGTGGCGTCGTCGTCGTCGTGGTCGTTTACTTGGCCTCCTCGAGCAATACGAGGTCGTCCGCGACCACGTCGCTGATGTGGAGGTAAATGATCCAGTACATCAGGTTGAAACAAACGAAGCACACCGGGAACACGATGCGCGAGTATTTGTCGATGTCCGACGGCGTAATACCTGTTTAGGGAACGTCCAGATGATTTAGAATAATCACAGCATATGATGTAGTGGAAGGAAAATAATTGCATATTTCAGTGAGCTTCCGAGAATTCGCGCGGTGCCGTTCAAATCGGGAGGATACAAAAGCGTACTAATCATTGGTGCAATTGTAATGCTTGGAAAAAATCGCACAAGAGTCTCTTGCGCGTGTGGCAAGAAGCTTTCCGCGGTATGATCGGTGATTCAAGCAATTTTGGACTTGGTGTTTCAAGCGCAAAGAGAGATAGAGAAAATGTATGTATACACACATATATACAGGGTGTCTCAGACTCTCCTACGCAATTTTTGTGGGACGGATTGAGATAAACATAAAAGTTCCATACCGTTTTGTGATATTCGCAATAAATCTCGAGATATTAATTAAAGATTAGTGAATAATCACGCGCGATATGGTAGATGAGCTGTAATGGCGCTGTCCGCCGTTGTATACTTATACATTAGGTCAAACTGAACAAAAAAGCCCTCTATCTTTTAAAAATTACCACATAGAATTTTAGATATTAATTAAAGAAGATTTGTGCATTATTGCGTACAATTATGTAACCATTTTTTTCATAAATAATTAAAAATTTACGTGATTATTTGCAAAATAATAAAGAGTTTTTTGTTCAATTTGATTTAATGTACAAGCACATAATGGCAGATGTCGCCACTACAGCTCATTTACCATATCGCGTGTGATCATTCACCGATCTTCCTTAATTAATATTTCGACTATTATTGCGAATATCGCAAAACGGTGTAAGACTTTTATGTTCATCTTAATTCGTTCTACGTTCCCATAAAAATTGCGAAAGTGCGTCTAGGATACCCTGTATATATATGGTACAACGCGGTCGCAGGCGCGTGGTATCATCAGTTATGAATATTCCATGGTCTTGGCCAAGTTCGAAACACTCGATAGATCCATGTGGCGCAGGCTGACAACGCTTGCCCAGGCTTAGTCTCTTTAACCGGACGATGATACCACGCCGGAGGCCTTCCGAGCTCGCTGACGGTTAAGCCGTACAGTGACGCTTATTAAGTTCCGTTCAGAAGCTCGTTGAAATAGACAGCCTGCCAAGCTAAGAACCGAATATTGTTTGATAGCTTGCCAGGCGGAGAGTTAGACAGTGTTATAAATGTGCGTACATGGTCTACTCATACCGTAGAGCTTGGTGATGTCTTTGCCAGGGTGAATAAGATGTTGCGGTGCGCCCGCCGTTTCCTCATCGGCGCGACCGTTTATAGTGTTCTCGAGTGTCCCACCTTTGCTGTGTGCCTTTGGGTCGTGCACCTTGAACCGCACCTCCTGGACAACACGGGACCACTTACAAGAGACACGGCAGTTCGCCGTGGGGTGTCCCTCTCCGAGGTTTACCCCTTACTTTGTCGGATTGGCATGCGACACCGAGGACTGGCAGTGTGTATCGTACCGTTCAACGCGGTGACGTCCGGTCGTTTTACGTGATCGTCGGGGCGATCGAGAGAAACTTACCTGCATATTTCACGTAGCCGTTCGCGGTTCGCGTTAGTTAACTTTTCTCTTTTATTCTGTTCTTTCTTTTTTTTTTTCATTAAAAACGGATAGGATGTGAAAGATAAGGAGGAAGTATCGTAAGAAAGGGGACTTTCCACGATCTGTAGAGAGGCGCGGTGTAGTTGCTCGTGCCCAAGCAAAACGGATCGGTGAGAATCTGGTTAGAAACTAGTGTACATGGTGCTACATTAGGTGTTGACGAGGTGTTCAGGGAGATCCATTACTCCTAGTCATATCATATTAGCAATTATTTTGGTTTTTGCACATGTGACAGGAGACTTGTATATTATTTTGGATTATCATACAGGACTGCGGGATTATCATTATCGGGACTGCGTTTAATTAGCTTCTTCAATTAATGTGTAATTTAACTGCGGTTTGCCGCAAAAATACAGTAATATTTATGACGATTTTATTATTTTATCCTATCTTTTATCGATTATATTACGCATTCTCGAGAATATTTTAAATAAGAGAGAGTCACCGAATTAGATATAATTTTAATATCCTCTTCGCATTCTGAAGAGAATAGTTGTTAGCTGTAAGAAGGCTCGAAAGAAACAAACGTTATTATTGAAGATGTTAATCAAGAGTATCGCCGTTGGACATCCTTCGTCGAATCACGTGCAATTAACTCCCTGCTCGTAATTAATTAAAACGTCTTATCTTGCCGATGCTTTACAAGCGCCGCCGTCCAGTTCAACTCTCACGCCCATTCACTTACTTCTTTCTGCATTTCTCTTCCCTCTCTCTCTCTCTCTCTCTCTCTCTCTCTCTCTCTCTCTCTCTCTCTCTCTTTCTCTCTTTCTCTTTTTCTTTTTCTTTCTCTGTTTCTCTCTCCCTTTCTCTCTCTCTCCCTCTTTCGGCTCTTTAATATTTCCCGTTCCCGGTCTACAATACCCAAGATTAAAAAAAAAATTTATAGTGCATCGCGTTCTGCAGGCACATTGCGCGGCCGAATGGGAATTCATTTCGCGGAACCTTTTAGCTTTTGACCTTTCGTAGATCGTCCTGCCGTTTCTAGTTTTTTTTTATGTTTTTTTTTTTCTGGGTAGAGGAAAAGTGCATATTTACGCTGCGCACGATGGTATGAGCGCCCATGTTGAGCTGGATCGAAAATAATGCCCGGCTCCGTCCTGTTGAGCCTGCACTCGTGACGAGGGAGAAGAGCCCGAGTAGCTCTAATATCCATTTGCCGCCGACTACATCGAAGATATCGAATTTATGGCGATCGCCGCATTATTCGATATACCACGCCATCGTTTAAAATTTCTTTCAAAGTAGAACTTTCCCAGCCGTTGGCGTACGGCAGGAGAAACATGCTCGTCCGGTACGCTTGGGTACTAACCAAGCGACTCTCGGGAGCCGTAAAGTCACGAGACAAATGCTGCGATTACGCATAAATCAATGACTGTGCCGCGATCAGCGTTTTCCTTTCATTCTTTTTTTTCTTTTTTTTTTTCGTCATATCGACAAAGAGCTGATCGCGCTGAAAGAAAGCGTGCGAGGTCGGCCAGGGGGAACGGTAGCACGTCTCTTTCCCTGGTTACGCGGCAACAAAACGATATTCTGCGTGAAAGAAAAAGTCAGGGACGACGGCGCTCTAGCCGACGTTACTCACAGTTTGTTTAGGCGCGTGATCGCCATGATCGCCGGGCACGCGCGGCGGTCCTGGATTCTCGCTCACGGCCTTCATGCTCTCCGCTATCTTTTGGAATCGATTCTTCCGCATCTGAATCCTCTTCGCCATGTAGCCCACCGTAGCGTATTCTGCGAAGAAGAAGAATCCACGGGAATGAAAACACGTAATCATTCAATGCCACGACACGACTGCCACTGTAAGACCCGGGCAGTAAACCCGGTAACATGGGCCCCCACTTCCATCCGTCGAGAATCTCAGTCATGCTTGCGCTCCCGGTACTTGTGTAGAGCTCACGTGCAGATGAAAGAAAGCCATTTCCCTGGAAACCCTGCCAAGCAGGACACCGCGACGGCGAAGTACCTTGGTATTATATGTAATGAGGTACTCGCGATCGCAGTCGGGAGAACGCAACAATGTGTTGGCCGCGATGGTTTAATTTATTTAAACGAATCACGCGCGAATACGCTTGCAATCAGCGATTTCAGTCGGCGCGATTTCTCTTTCTCGTCACATAAAAATAATCAATCAGCGACTCATGGCGCCTCGTCGTAAGCGATAAAAAAATGTGGATAAAGTCGTTTGTTATGTATATTATGACGCGGCACTCAGACGGATGGATAACGATTTCGAGAAAAATGGGTCCCTTGCATTTGTCACGTGAGCCCTACACAAGTATCTACGATACTCTACGAGCTCGCTACTGGAACGGCACGGCTCCGAGCTATACGGAGTATGAGAGGACGCAGGATGGAAAGTTTAATGGCAGCGACGTAGAGGCACGGAAGAGTACACGATCGCACTCACCGAGCAACGAGGCAAAGACCATGACGAAGCAGGTGCCCAGATAGACGTCGATGGACTTGACGTAGGAGATCTTTGGTAGCGCTGCATTCGTCGAGGACATTAGGGTCGTCATAGTGAGCACAGTGGTTACTCCGAGGGCCACCCGAGCGGGGGTTGCGTTTCGGTTTAGCCAAAAGCTCACCCACGATATTATGACAATCAGCCCCGAGGGTATGTAGATCTGGATCAGGTAGTAGCCCATCGACCGTACGAACTGGATCTCGCAGGCCAGCCGCGAGTAATTCCCTGCGATTAAAAGATCGAAGGTCAGGACAGGGAGACGGAGAGGCGCTATTTAATGTCTCTTTATCTCCCGTGCTCACTGTCCTTCCTCCTCACTGTTCGTTTATCTCTCTCTCTTTCTCACTTTCTCTTCCCACGTGTCCTTTCTCTCTCTCTCTCTCTCTCTCTCTCTCTCTCTCTCTCTCTCTCTCTCTC